TAAATGTGATTTGCGCTTGTTGCGAATGCGACGAGAGGAACAAGCGATTTCTAGAGTGGGACAGTGCCACCAGTGAGTAGGTACTTCAACCGATCCATTGATCTGTGGTCGATCGTCAACAGCGGGGAACCGCCATACAAATTCTCGGGGAGATAGGGAGGGATGGATGTATCAGGTTGAATTTATCGTTGAGGATACCTTATTTTCGTCCAGTGCCGCCAACTTGTGGTTTGAGCGGGCAAGCTTCCGGAACTGTGCTCCGATGTCGATGATATAGGTCATCGATGGACACTGCCTCGACGACCTTTCTCAGGACGATCGCTAACACGCGATCGATCGCTTCATGCCGGCACCGCCGATTCCGGAGGAGCTTTTTCGACGCGCACAGTTTTAAGTCGGCGAAGATCAGTCGGTATGCGGCCGCGGCAGTCACCTAGCTGGTGCCTTCTCCTCTTCCGGCAGATTCGTATTTTTGAGGCATGGGTGCGTAGAATAATGCAAGAGCTGCAGCGGTACTCGCCTTCCAGTCTGAACCTACCTCTTGGGTAAAAATCTTAGCGCTCAGCAATTGTTCGAAAGCAGCAGAGTTGCGCCGAAAATCACAAGATCCTCTCCAAGTTTCGGGGGTCCGTCTGACGAAGTCTCGGCGCTGTCTCAATTCTTCTTCTAGGATCGCCGATGACATCCCCAGGACCGCGCCTCAAAGTCTCAACGTCGGAATGGAGTTCACGGAGCTCTAGACTTGCGGCGCTTCACTATTGTAGATCTTCGGTCATCATGTCTCCGCGTCTTCTCGAGAATTCTTTCCCTTCAGGATTTTGGGAGTGAATGATTCCTCGACTTGAAATCCTTAGTTCCGTCTTTCGCGTTTTTGTCTTCGGTCCGTAATCTTAGTTTTTCCCCGGGTCCCCTCCCTCCAGCCGGTCCGCGATAGCTCTTTCGTCCGACTTCATTCGATAGGAGACTGATGTTGCGCCACAGTGCACAAAAAACTCCTTTCCAAAGGGTCAGTCAAGCTCTCACTCACTCAGTCAGTCAGGTCGATTTCGACCGAGGCAAGAATCATTTTTCGAGCACATTTTCTCAACGATAGAGGAGGACAAGGGATCTTTTCCCCAAGCGAACAAAATCCTCAGTCCGTGATTGTGGCATCATCGTTTTTTGGCCGGCTGCTCGCTCTGCTACTTTCCTCGCCTCTACATAATCTCGCTCTCCATATCGAAGTCCATATGAAGACCGAATGGAGGAGGAACGACAAGCGAGTGTCTTCTCTAGATAAAAAAAACTCGGCCCTCGACGACCCGTCGTTGCCGCCCTCTCGCGAGGCAGCGGTGTCTGTGATCGGGAGATGCGCAAGTCTGTTACGGACAACAATGTCAAATCTATCATGACGGTTTGCAACAGCCCACCAGCAAAACGCCGAGCCGCAGGCCGGGAGCAGCTTCCATCCGAGCCTGCCGTAAATGATAGAAGAAACGGACCGGAGTGGGAGCAGATGCAAGAAGAGAACCCAGACCTGCGTCGACTCTTACCTAAACGATATTTTCACGCAAATCCGGAATACAAAACAAAACACGCACGAATGCGCGACCCATCGAAAAGGAGCGCTATCCAAAACTTTCAGAAGATGTTTTTCATCAACGGAGGTCACGCGCCTAAAAAAGATTTCTCGTCGCAAGCGATCGGATGAGCTCGAAAATGTGCTCACTGTGCACAGGATTTTCTTTCCCTCCATCGCCTATCAGCCATCCGCCTACTTCCAAGTTTCCTCAGCTCCCCAGTACACCTACATCAGAGAGAGACAGTGCCGTGGAATCGACCTCGATGGACTAGCATCCGACTCTGCGACCGCAACCATATCGACAGGGTGGTTTTGGAAGATTAAATTTTATCTCTGTTCTTCCCACACGTGAACTCATTAGCGAGGATGAAGAGAATAGAGCGCACGGCGCAGAGGGGACAGAATAGAGAAAGAATAGATGAAATAGCTCCTATACCAAACTCGGAGAAGATGTGTGACACTAGGTGTGCTGCGAGAGTTTTTTTTTAAAATAGAAAAAAATTCAAAGCCAAAATCGAGGGACGACGACAACGACGGTGGCGGTAGCGCTCTTATCTCGCTGCTTAATGATGTGGAATATCGCACGATTGCTCCTCGGCCGGGAGCGGGTCCTTCATTCAGTTCTCGAGACCAACCGGCGGCGCGGGGGGGAAAAAGAACCATCGAGACATAGGTGTGTGAGTGTGTCGTCACAGAGGCCCTTTATCTGCTTCACACTTTTACGGACTAGAACATGGTGTATTCCCGTGAGTTCCTTGTTGAGCTCCTCCTGCATTCTGCTGTTTTTTTTTCCTTTCGTGGGGAAATGGTGGCGGGGGAAGAATTTCCGGTTCATTTTGCAGACGGCGACGTCGCTCGTGTCAAACCCACCATGCTCCCGCCACTCGTCTGTATGACTCGAACAGCTAAACTGAGCATAAGCATTGATTCCGTCGGCAGAAGATGCGTAGCCGAGTCGTTGTTCTTCCTCTCTTTCGAATCGGAGGGGGGCGCAAAGTTAGGGAAAAGTTAGCCTGCGCGTGACGAAGCTATCCTGGAAGCCGGGCTCGCGAACGAACGGGCGGGCGGTTTGCTCGGCCGCTAGAGGCGGACTTGAGCCAGCCGGCGAAGCGATCAATCTTGGGGCAAATCCCCACGAGCCCAGTCGAGTCGTTCCCACTCTGTCTAAGCGACCCAATCAGCATCTACGCGTCGAGCGAATGATCCGGACAAGTAAATAAGCTACAAACACATCTCTTTTCCTCTCACACTGCTCATGAAGACGGCGCGGCAGGCGGGCGGACGGACGGACGCTCGCTCACTCACACCCGGGGCTGGCCGTGGAGCCGAAAGCTCGTGGAACTCCGAGTGGTACATTTTCCCTTTTCAGCTCGGCGAGTCACTCAACGGCGGCGCAGCGGAAGGTGCGAGCTGCGGAGAGAAAGGACGGATAACAGTCGGCGAATTTCTACCTCCCTCGATTTCTACTTATCGAGAGCTCTGAGATGAAACTTCCGTCCAAACGGTTTCTACCTCGGCGCTCGTTGACTGCCCTCATTCTTTCCCGGTAGAGGATTTGCCATGCGCGAGGTAATCTGTTACCTCGGTTCCTTCTGTAACGATCGGATAATCGTGCGGTACATGGTTCACGCGGAAGTCGCTTGAGTTTATGCTCAGTGAGCTGCGAGTGCGATGTTTTTTTGTTCTGCGCTCCTTCCGCGTACAGTCGAGGAAGCTCATCGAGAGGGGGAGAGTGGGACTACGTGGTCATGCTCTGCTGTTGAGCGTCTTTCGTGTGATCCTCCTCAGCCTACTCAATATTAAAATCTGCTTAGAAATATGCGGCTAGACTTGGATCCTCGATCGAGCCGCCGAACCTCAGCACGGTGGCGCTGCTCTATGCAAAGCAGGCCCCGCAGATCCTCCGCTTTCACTCTTCGAACACCCACTCAACCGAATTCTCAATATAGAAAACGATAGAGAGCAGCCGTTATCGATATTTGTTCCTTAGCTGTTCGGCGCTCAATAGTCGTCGACGTCGTCTACGCCAGCGCACCTCTCGCCCATTCGCTTTTCTCATCGGCCGGGCCCCTCGTTCCTGCCTCGTGTTCTCCCCTCGAGTTTTCGCCTTCCCTTCATCGCGTTACCCCTCCCCGCTAAGCGAACCCTCGGAGCTCCATCCAGATAGCAGGTGGAGTCGATCAATAGCTAATGGATAAAAATTATCAAAACTTCTAGCGGAGCGCCCGTCGTTATCGGCACTCGTCGCGCCAGGCGTCGACGCGGGTTCGGTCAGGAGTTCAGCTAGCGAAGCCAATAGATGATTAGAGTTTCGAACTTTAGCGCAGAGTTTGACCCGCAGGTCACTCGTTCGGTATGGCCCTAAGCTCGAGGGTCAGTAACCCGACACCGGACTCGATCCTCAAGAATCATTCGATTATTCGACGAGGTGAGTCGTAAGTGAGGAGAACAATGCCGCGGAAAATCGAAAATCAAGCGAAATTCAAAGATGTCCTCCGCTCCCGTCTCCGGAATTCTATCAGTTCCCACCACCTAACGACAGCGACCCCGCATTGTCGAGGGACGACAAGAGGCTCGAATTTTAGATTTTCGATCATATTGGGTTGGACTCAGAATGCCGCGGTCTCCACGCTTTAACGAGTTTCGAATATGTCAAGCAGAGATCGAATTATCAAGCTTGAGAGCATTGTTGTGAAATCGAATCTAGTTTCAAGTCGGGCAGGGCAGCGGAGCTCGTGGCAACAAGCCACCTGCGCACGAGTGAAATCAAGGAGCGTGAAATAAACTCTTGACGTCCCGCAGAGAGAATCAGAGACAAAAGCTGTGGGCCTCCCCCATTGCGCGCTTCCATGTCCGACTGTCTGGTTCGGCAGGAGCTTTCCGAATATTCGCAGCGAGACTGTGCATTGCTCCATTATTGCTTCATCATAGGATCTGTTAGTTGTCGGCGTTCCCTTGTGTTCCGCAGCGTTCCGCGGTTGGTTCCATCATACTCTTCCTGTATGCATATTCAGCCGAGCTTTGTGTGTCATGTAACGTCGTGTGCCATTGTCGAGACCCTTTCTCCTCCCTGGCCCGGAGGGTCTCAGGAGGAATACATTCCCGGCAAGATCCTAAGTCGATCGCACCGTCTTCGCCGGGAAGCATGAGGAGGGGATCGCACAGAAGGGCGGGCGGGGGGAAAAGGGGGAGGGGCTTTCGGTGGGTTTGTTGTTGCAAATCCTGCGGAGAATCCCGCCGTGGCCGCCGCCGCTGTCGTCCCATTGCACTATGCACCAGTCGTCGATTCAGGCCTTGTACATACTGCTGCCTTGTATAGAGCCACCTGGCAAGCAAGAAGGCGGACCCTTAAAGCGCCGCCCTCAACCGCTGCCGCCGCTGCGATGGCCGACCTCCTTGTGCATCCTTCCCATCTGCACTCCTGAGCGGGCACAGTTGCTGCTGATGCTGCTGCTACTGCCAGTTGGTTCTCCTCTCGTTCGGTGTTGTTCGACGATCAGCTTGTGCGCCCGCTTGACAAGCCAGAGCTGTCTCAAAGTTCGCGCGGACTGGTGTCATTGAGGGCTGACCATCTTGGAGGCGGCTGCGTGTCAAAGTAAGTCTTGATAAGTAAAGGTCGGTGCTCGAAGAGTGGAGGATCGGGTACCTGCTGGGCCCGATAGCTGAGTATAGTGATTATTTCGAGCAGACATTCGTTTTTTCCTCATGCGACGGTGAGATTCCATTCGCTCCGTTGCCGCTGAGGACGACGAACCCTCCTGGAGGAGATCCCAGATCGCGACGAGCCCGGTTCTATTCACTCACTGGCAACCCGACCCACGATCCTCCAACAGGAACATTCGCTCCGCTCGTGATTTCTCCGGTGACGCGCGATCATCACCACTATTCTGGACATGTCTTCCGATCCTAGAGAAGCATTCGGGAATCTCCAGAGGAGCTTCTCGATGCATTTCCTTTTGCTTGTAAACATGAATTCATTGAGTCATTCAACGCTACGTGCCCGCGGTGGGTGGTCGTCCGTGTTGCGATCGCACGGGAAAATTCGGCGCTCGCGATTCGAATACCTCCTCAAGTTATTGAGGAGGGGGAGGAAATACTTAGTTGTAAGTTGAAATGAGTTCTTATTTTCAGCTCTTCCGACCGTCTGATTTTGATCGATTTCTCGACAGTATCTCCATGAATTCCCTCCGACAGACAAAGAGCTTTTCGATGTAGATTTGTGTGTCTGGGTGCAAATGGTTGAGCAGGTTCACAGCATTCGGGAAGGGGTTCTCCTATGCTTTGTCTTGGAATGCCAGGATGCTTGAACCTTGATCACCTCCTCTCGAAGAAGGACGCATGAACCACGAAAGAGGATCACGCTTTACGTTAAACCCGTCTGCCATGTCGAGATTCGGAAGAGCATCGAGAACTCTGAAGAGCCTTGGCGACTCCTCCTCCTCCCGATCGTTTCCGACAGGAAGATTCCCGAAAACTCCTTCTGATTCCAACCTTTAGAAGAACGCGAACAATAAAGTCAACAGCGTTCATCAATCTCCGACAATTTTTGAGCAATTCTACATCATATGTCGGCTTCCACCAGCATGTTTCCGAGTCCCGTTACACCCGATCAGTGCTAATAATGCTCTGATTGAGATCTTTGAAGCCGCCGGGCCTCTCTTGAAATCTATCGGAAGCATTTGCTCGTCGTGACAGATCCCTCTGATGAAGTTGTTGCCGCTTTTTGAGATCCTAATCACAACTCAGAGCAGCGAGTCAAACTCCTCCCTCAATTGAAATAAGTCACCACCGAGCTCGTAGACCGCAGAGCGCGACCATCACGGGGTGGGTGGCAGCGATGGGGAGTTGACGATTGACTTTGAGCGCCGGCCGCTGCTACCGCGGCTCCTGCAACAACCGAGTACAACACCCTCAGAACCCCTGGGGAACGAGGGGAGGGGGACGGATGAGAAGCGATCGCTGGAGCGCAAACCCCACTCATGGCGAACAACTTGAACTCCGTGAAATAAGATGCACCCAGCAAACGCAGCGAGACACCGCGGTACTCTGAGGGTTCTTCACATGTAATTAATACTACTTCACTCTCGAGAGAGCCCAGCTCTTGACTCAGCCATATGTGCGCAGCGTATGATTGAGTAAGAAGAGCAAGACATTGAACTTGGAGACAAGTGCTCCACTTGGACAGAAGTCCACTCGATCGAAAGGGAGACCTGGCCAACAAACGCTTTGAGCACATCTTCTCCGCCAGGAGCTTCCGAAACGAATACTTCCCTTTCGTAAATACCCTCCGAGCAGAGTGCTGTTCCTGATTGCGTGATCCTCGGCCATATTCTTACGGGCAGCTCGGAGCTCTGCCATGTCGTCCTGGCATGTCCCGCATCGTCCGGGCCTGGCCATATTCTATCAGCGAGGCGTGAACCTAAAGCTGACCGTCCTGATCCTTCGCTATGGCGTCGCGCGAGTTGCTAGCGGTGACGCTCTGATGAATAAATTGATATTGCCCCACGGAATGCTCGTGTCGAGGACACGAGGGTTTCCGAGAGTTCTGATCGACTGATGTCTCTGCCGTCATTGGTAAAATTGGTAGGATCGAGGCCGCATCGAGCGCATGTCTCACCTCGAGGCAACAGCACAGCACAGGTCGACGGCGTACACACATATCTTGTCGGAACATACCGTACCGTCTTTGCGAGAAGGAGATTATCAGGGTTCATTCTCCTGTATTCTGCTGCGAGGCAGGAGCTTGAGCCGCAGGAGAGATCGTGTTTCGGGATTGTCGCCAGATGGCCTCAGAATGTAGTGAGACTTAGCCACGAATCAGGGCGACCGAGGGATCGAGAAGATTGCTGCGGATTATATCGTGTTTTGCCTGTCGTCGTTCTAACAACGATTGGATGGATGAACACTCAGTTCGCCGATGTCATTCTAGCATGGGGGAATCATGCGTGGAATTCTTCAGATTGAGCTCCCATTCACCGAGTGCTCCCATTCGTTTTCCTTGCAGGATGAACGTGGACGTTTCTATGCGGATTGTCGCGGACCAGAGTCTCCGTAGCAGCACTATTCTCGGACCCGTAACGCCGAAAAGCTCAGTTTCTGGACATGCTCTGGACCCTCTGGCATGCATCGCTTATCGCAGCAGGGACGAATATCCCGGAGAGGACAAATCGACAACTCTCATGGCAAGTTGATCTACCCGATCCTTCCTCGGTTTGGGCTTCCCGAAATTCCTCGCGGAGAATTCACGAGGTGGAGAGCACTGTGACCCCGACGCGAAAATAGCTTAGCGTGATCGACGGATGTGCTGCAGCGAACCGAGTGACTGTTCGGCTAAAATATCCTCTTCGATCCCCCTCGAAATCAGAATCAGCTGTTCCCCATAGATTCAGTGCAGGGACAAAGCGGAGACTATCTCGAGTTCTGGAAGGAAGCTTCGCTGGCGAGGGTTTCCATTCTTTTCAGAAGATCCCTTTCAATATGCGGAGAGATAATTCAAGTGGCAATTTGTAAAACTCGCTCCCTATGCTCACTGATAAGCCAGAGAGAAAAGACCGGGTTCCCGGTAGCTGTTTCTCCCTTTTTTCCTGCTCGCTCCGCGCTGATAAAGCCAGCGGGAAAAAAATATGACGGTTCGAGAGAGAATATTCGGTGTGGTGAATGCACCGCCACAAATGCGGACTTTATCCGACGGTGGAGCAGCGAGTACTCTCGAACATCTAGCCAGGTCTCGAAATTCAATGTTAGCGAGTTTATTCAATTCAGTCTCTGGAATTATCGTCCTTAAGGCAAGAGGCCTCAGCGGTAGTCATCGTTAGATCATCGACGATCCCTATTGAGTTGAATCTGAGAGATTCATTCTTGATCATCGGGAGATCTCTACCCATATTCGGAGAAATGTCTCTCCCCTGCGCTCGTTGTGTGTCTGAGGGAAAATGTGTGTGTGGTGTTTGTGTGGAAACGAACATGTTGCAAGCCCGGAGATACGACGACGGGGACTCCGTCCCGACATTTGGGAATCCCCCTCGTTCTCGGGACGGATCATTGTCATTGCTCGTTCACCGCTTGCCTGCAACCGCAGGCGGCTGCGCTTGTTGGTGGCGAACGGATGAAGCCTTTTAAAATGTAAAGTTTCCCAGCGCGCGTTCGAGCGTGCTGCTCCGTGTATGTGTCGTGATGAACCAGCGAAAGATGGAGCGCCCTAATCTCAGTGAACACGGCTATCGCGACGCGAAGTTTGACCCGCTCTGATAAATCTGAATGAAGTTTTCGCTTTTTTCTTCCCTTGTGCCGGCAACAGCTCTCCACCTGCCTCTCCAGCCGAGATCATTCCTGGCTCATGCACATGAGAACGGCCCGCTTCGCCGAAGAGCAGAACGTTGAAGTTTCCATACTCGAGGGCCAGATTCAATATCGAACAACGAAAGATGTCCTGCCCGGAGAGGAATTGCGCGTTTGGTTCGGTGCGGAGTTCAGTCAGATCCTGCGGCTGCCGGCGTTCGCTTCGCTGGTGCTTCCCGACACCGAGAAAAAATATCGATGCGTGTTCTGCAGCGAGAACTTCAATTACCCCTTTCCCATGATCGGACACATAATGTACCGCTGCCCGATACGCGATACGAGTCAACCCAAAAGCCTCGAGGCAGCATCTATGAGTCCCTCAACGCCTCCATCTCCACGTTTACTCTCGCCACCTTCCAGGATGATATCTCCCGGTGAGTAGACTTCTATCGATAAATGATGACGTTCGAAGAAGACGTTGCTTGCCCCGTCCTTCCCTCAGAATAGCCTCCCGCCCTCGTTTTTTCCCTTCTCTCCTTGCCAGCTACAGTTTTTCTCTGTCTCGCAATAAATGCCCGATAACGGTTGGGACATCTGCAGGTCTTTCGGGTTCGACTCCGAATTCGCCTTCCACAACGCCGCCGAATCTGAGCCCGGGATCCTCGTGGACGCCGGCGACGGTTCTCCCAGTGAGTCCGATGAAACGAAAACGATTCAAATCCTTCGATATCGCATCGCTCACAGACGACGGGGGAGGTCCGATGAACAATAACAAGGACAAAAGTGAAAATGGTCCCGATGCTGTTATCACCAATCTCAACCAAGGCTTAAACCTCATCAGTCCGCTGCATGGCTCACCTCAGTTTCCCACCTACACCCCTTTGAATGGCATCGGCTCCACAATACAATCTCCGTCGCTCTCGCCGTACAACTCATCGGGTATGTAGGAATCGCCGGAGTGACGAATTAGGATCTTAGGAATTCCGAAGCTGTCCGACTGAATGATAGTAGAGCGGTCGCTTACAGGACTCTCGGGCTCATTCAGTGTCGGGATACCCAATTTGACGCGATCGCCTCCGGCTCCGAAGCCGCGGAAGGCTCCGAAGCGGACGAAGGCAAGTCCATCTCCGCCGTCCGCACCCTCAGATCCTGCACAGGCGGCGTTGTTGTCCTGCCTTCCGCCCTCGTTGGCTGCCCTGTCGATGCCGTCGCAGAATTGGTGCGCCAAATGCAATACCACGTTCCGTATGACCTCTGATCTCGTCTATCATATGAGGTGAGGACAACTCGTCTGAAGAAAGTGAAACGCCAATGAAACTCTAGGATGGCTTGTTCGCTTGCTTGCCAAGGCTATCGCCAAAAAGAGCGGTGGGTCCACCTCCCACGGTCAGAACCCTGGCTGGCCACTCACCAAAATGAAGGCTCTCCTGAATTGATTGCCTGCCGGAGAGGTGAAGATGTTCTAGTTGCTTACTTTTGCAACCATCAGCGAACGTGACTGTAAGAGAGATGACCGACGCCCCGAAAGCCATATTTGCGGCCTCATTAACATCGGACCTCACCGTGAAGATGCGATGCAGCGGAGACCCCGCGACGGCGCACGACCGCAGGCGACTTGAGGAGGATCATCTTCTCCCCAGAGCTTCCTCTGAGATTCATGCGATTCCTTCCTTTCCCAGGTCTCATCATAAACGCGAAGGGGATCCGATGAAACGTAAACGGGAAGAAAAGCTCCGGTGTCTCATCTGTCACGAGACCTTCCGAGAACGACATCACCTCACGCGTCACATGACTAGTCATCAGTAGGCTTGCAATCAACGAAGTTCTCTGCATGTGTCCTGTCTTTTATGGTAGACGCGATCAGTACACTCTCCGCCCTCACAGGTTCGAATAGGTATCGTTGCTGTTGACCCGCTGTGATTACTAGATAGCGTTTGTACCTTAAGCACATTCTGTCGTCATGTTACCATAGACAGAAGTTCATTTGCAATTTTTACAACTTGGACCTTATGCCCCCGTATCGCTGCTTCCACGCTCCCCGATCACGAAGTAGATATCCCGCCCGACGTCCCAGTGTTCTCCGTTTAGAACGACTTTTTAGAGTTTAGAGCTTGAATGTGCTCGAACAACTCTCGAGAGACGACTAAATCGGAGAAACGCCATCCCGCCTTTCAAAGGGCGGGAAAATCGATTCGAGAGAAAAATAGAAAGAAAATATCACTCGGGGCAATATGAGTCTCGAACTCGTCAGATCCGATGGACAGTAGGGGAGATATCGCTCAGCTCGAGTCCTCGAAGCTAGTGGTCGTTGTAGTCGATTGCGATCGATTCTCTGTAATATATATTAGACCGGAAAGGATGAGGAAACTCCCGAATTCCGCACCGACGAGCCCCTGAAACGGACCATCTGTTCCGCTCACCGATTCGGATCGGACGGGTAAACCTGCCTCGAGGCAGAAGACCGCAAGTCAGCTTTAGTAGGTAATTTCAAAGCTCGTGTCGGGATCGACTGAAGCATCGCCGATCCCTCAACGCCACGAGACACAAAGATTCGAGAAATACGAATAAAGAGGAACAGTTTTCAAAAACATGAATCGAGTTCGGTTATCAGCGTTTTTGTTCATTTCCATCCAGAGCTCCCTACAAGAAGCGCACGACAAGAAGGAGCAAGTTGTTGATCTGACTGACATTAGCATCACATATTTATGGAGATGCTGCGGAAATGCGACCCAGTCTAGATGGAGTGGAGTCTGTTGGGTATCTCGGCTCCGGCGGATGCACTCTGCAGATGGAGAAACCTCGCACAGATGCGGGTCCAGACTCCACGGAGCCGATGCTCACCCTTGCCAACGCCGAACATCCACCAGCGCGGCGGACGGAGGGTTCTCGCTCGCTTCACTTACGCCCGTTGCGTGGACGTGTGACTCGTTCCCCTATGCTCGGAGAACGTCCGCAACTCGTATTCTGGACGAATATTCTACCGTATTCTTGTCCTGGCGTGCTGAGCGCCCCTCCTTCATCGCAGGCCATCGGGACGACCTCGGAAAGACGACGAAATTGAGAATAGCTCGGAGATCGGAGTTCAAATCATAAAATAAAAATTTTCGACGTGGAAGAGACTGCTGATTCCAATATGCTCGGCTCCGAATTCGTCGGCCATCGGTAAGGTGATCGCTTCGCGAATATCCGCAATTGGCAGAATACGTGAAGGAACACTCAATGCTCGGGAGCAGCCTGCGCGGCGACTCGACGATTCGACAAGACCGCGGCTGCTGCGAAAATCTCGAAGCGCGGGTGGGTGGAATGCCTCCTGGATGTGGAGAGATGGCACTGTGTCGAATCGATGAACTTGGCCGCGCACTACTGCTGCGGCAGAGCGGCCAAGGCCCCAATTTCCATATGAAAAGAGATCATCCACTCCCATATTGAGAAAGAGCAGCAAGAAGTCAGAGTCTCTTTTGCGTTCCAGTGCAGGAACCCACACATGTCTCAAAAGAAAATGTCATCATCATAGATACAAATGACTCGTCTCTGCTCTTTCGCTTTCAGCTTTGTCGAGAGCATGTGGACCAGGCAGAAAGAGAATGAAAACGAGTCCTTTTCAGAGACTCTCCGACAACCTTCACATCGGACTCGATTCTACCGGGAAGATTTCGAGATGAGATCACGTCCAGCTAGAAATCCCCAAAAATTCGGAATCAGTCTTAGAATCGTTGTGACCACGAATTTCGGAAAATTGAAGTTCTAGTCAGAGAATGGCAGGAATCTTAGCCCCGGTCGTCGACCTCGGACACGCAGTCGCTAGGCACTCGGGATCAATTGCCATCGCAAGTACCGAGTTCTCCGCCACATCGATCCGACGGAGAAAGGCGCTTCAGACCAGTCTCAAGAGAGGCATATCTCGCGGTATCGTGATCGCGATTCCTAGAGAAGAATCGATAAGGGCTCAGTGGAAGACACCTGAAGATTTGCCCAATGATGTGTATCTGTGACGACCTGTCGTCCAGCCCTTGACGAATATCTCTAAAGCTATCGTCTGAGGGCTTTGTTCCCACAGGATTCATGGATCGTCATGCGGAATTTTCCAGGAAAGAAACATGTGTCACCTCCGAGCGGTCCAATGGCGCGAATACATACACGCTGCCAGCGAGCTCGATGAATGATTGATAGCCCTCGGACCTTCAGAGGTCTTTCCGAGGGGGGGGGGGCGGCGAGCTCTTCCTAAAGGGCTTCCTGAGGGAAATCGCTGAAAATATGACCGTCTCGAGTGCGAACGGATCATTCGTATCCATCATTGCTTCTCGGACGATCGGATGCCCTCCCAGGAATCACCAAGACGAGCGCTGATCGAGCTCGGTCATTTCTGATTGCGGAGTACACTCTTCGCTGACCCCCGAATCCTGCACGTGCGGCATCGTCGAGATCTTATGAAATGCCGGTTCCACGCTGATGACAATCTAGTCACGTACCGCATTCAGATGCTGGCAGTCACCTGTTACCAAGGTGATCCACGTGTTAATTCAGACGCATTCCACACAATCGAGAAAAGGATCAGTGATTAGACAGTTCTTCTATGAACTGCCGCAACTTCTTAGTGAGTGCGGGGCGTCAGGTTCAGTGGCCCACGGCGGCCAATGCTGGCAGAGCCCCTGGCGAGAGCAAAACTCAAAGATCAAAACACGTCATGGATACCCGAAAGCCGGAGAGAGCGATCTTGAGACCAACTTCTCTCGAACGGTCCTCTGCTCACGTATAAAAAGACCGTACCGTTCCGGGAACACCATCTTTCGATTCGCCACAGGTTCTTCCGGCAGGTTCATTCCATTGAGAACACCATGTTCCCCCTGAGGATTCTCCTACTCGCCGCGCTATTCCTTCCCGGAGTTCTGTCACAGTTCCCACTTCGTGAGTTCGATCTTTCGATTCAACCATCCTATTCTGGAGATGATATCGATTCAGAGGGGCCATGATGCTCTCCCATCGCTGAGTATAGAGAGGACCGAATCTAACAGTAATCCTGAAATCCAGCTTGCCTCCGTGAAGCTTTCGCTACGAATCTCAAGGAAAGCAGGGACGAATTCCTCAAGATCATGATCGGTGCGGCATCATCGAGAAGTTCGAAAAAACTGATCGAGGACGTACGCACGCAATATGCATCGCTCCAACAAGACTTCGAAGCTGCGTGAGTTTCCCGCCGTTCTCCGGTTCCGGATGAGTCTTTCAATCAACCCATGTCGAATCTGATAGAGAATCCGTACACTGAGACAACGGGTCTGAATTTAAAATGCTCTTGTCAGGTCGGCGACCATTGCGAATGATTACAAGAAATGTCTTGCTGAGCGATCAACTCTCTTCCGGAGACGTTTCTGCAGAAGTAGTGCAAGGAGACGTTTTCTTCTCGCGATGACGCGAAACGCATCGAGACTGTTCCTTCAATTTGCGCGGAACTTCTCACCGCAATCTCTTCCGTCACCGAATCGCCTGATCAAAATCGCGAGAGGGAGCTTCGCCAGAATGCAGCGGGGCCTGGGTCGCACAAGACGTTGCTTCATGGCATAGACACCTGCAGATGAGACTCGGATTCGGTCTCGGTGAAGCTGCTGATCAGGAGATAATATCACTCTGACTCAGTTGAAGGTCAATCCGAGTGCGGAAGGATGGAATTCATCTCCTACATGTACATATATATCCAGATCTCGATTTATGTTTCCCGAACAGCCAACACGCTCATCACGGATCATAATCTCCACCAAGAGAATCGGCGCGCAGATCGGGAGTTCTGAGCGAGAGAAACTCGAAGAGTGTAAATAAAATTCTAATATATCCTCCGTTTCCTCGTTAAAAATAAATAGAAGAGATCTAGGTTCGACTCGAACTCGATAAGATATTTCACTCGAATTCATCCACGGGTCTATGGTACCTAAACCCACTTGGGACGCTCGAAACTTACCCAATATGTACAATCATTTTACCGAAACGCGATACCAAGAAGGGTTTCCCCTATTGTGTAGTCGAAGACTATTATCAGGGAGCTAAATGGAATCGGCATGCGCAGTCGTAAGCGAGCGGCAGAACTCGAGTCGAGCCAATGCCTCCGGCGGCATAATGCAATGGAGCATATGGTCCGCCCCCGAGTGTTCTTTCGCTCTTCGCCCTCAGCATATGTTGCCCTCGTTACCAAAGTCAGGCGTGTGTAGAGCCTGAGCTCAACCGCGGAAATGTCGGGCGGACCATTCGCGACAGACGTTGAGACTTATGATTCTATAATACAAAGCACATAATCACCGCAGCTCGATGATTGCGTCGCTTGCCTATTATCGATTTCGGGCGGTCATATCGCGCATAACTCGCTTTCCGGTACTGTTCCGAATATCCGTCCGCAGGGTGGAGCTTTTCGAGATCTACTCCTTGGGCAGGCTCGAGTTCGGTGACTCGGAGCGTGAAGATGGAACTTGACCTTGGGTCAAGAATTTTTCCGGAGGGGTAATCAGCTTCGAAGTCTCACCGAAGCTGGCGGCTGAGTCCTCTTTTAAGATGTGGAAATTCGTTTTTCGAACGGGAACATGAAAGCGCTCCGTGGGACGAGAACCTTCCCGGATACGCCGGACTTCGCATACATATTTCGCGCAGTTATAATTCCGAGTCAGCTGGAGGACAAGGAGTAAATCCGGAGTCTAATTTGTTCGTCTGAGAGAACCATTCCTCGTTTCCGCTCGGCGATTTCCATCACAATCCGGCTTGGGATTCATATGAAGCGTAATTAGAATCACAAGGGGGGCCGATCCAAACACGATGATGATCTCCAAGAAGATGATGAGGGAGAGGCCGAAGACGACTGCAAGTACAACTGCCCACCACAATGCGAAACGAGACATCTTAGCAGCGGAAATTTCAAGCGAACTAAACCGAATCCTTGAATTTTAAACAGGTCTTTGTCTGTGGCGGTCTCGTCGGCCCGCCGCCCTCCAGCCCCTCTTCCCTGCTCGGCGCCCCCGAGCCCCTTTTTCCTCCTCGCCGTCCTCCCCTCGAATCGCGACCGGACGAACGAGACTCGAGCGACCAACCGCCGGCCCACCCATCCACCAACGACTTGTCAACCCCATGCCTTCCTACATTGCCCTCCTAACGCTCCTGAACCGCCTTCTTCCACTCGAGAGCGGCGCGTTTATGAAGCAATGTGCGCCGCATTTCGGCATAACAAAATGTTTGCGCTGCGATTCTTTTGCTCTGCTGCCAAGTGGCGGCAGCGGCTGCGGCCACGGTGGTGGATTGATGTCGTTCGTCTGGATCGACAAGACTTTTGTCTTTTCATTGTGTCGTCCGGGGCCGCTGTTCTCCTTCGGGCCTGTGGCGTGTTATTAGATTTGCGTCCGGCTTCTTCCGCGAGGGCAGAGTGGGGTGATTTATGTGCTTGAGCACACTGTTGAAGGCAGGCGTTCCGAGAGTCATGCCAAGTTATGATGTGCGGACTCCAGTTCGGAATTGTCAGCTCTGATTTTGGGTTCCGAACCTCACGCACCCCGCCTCCGGAAACCTTCGAGATCATTCAGGGGGACGATGAATTTTCCCATCAAGGACGTACGTCGAACGCTTGGGGTCGGACGCGCAGAACGCACGTGATATGATTACCACCTCTACCGATGGCCGTGTTCGCTCTATAGAGGGAGGGTGCATACATTTACAGCTGGCACAAACTGAACCCATCGGCCAAATGGTTCAGTGTTGCTTCTTTGTGCCGCCATATCTCAGCGTATCTATGTAGACATCCGAACCAGCAGCGACACGTCCCGACATTCCACCGACGAGCTGGCTACCGACAGCGATTGCCCGCTGAGTGAGTGACATGTTTCTCATAGACATGCGGAATCGACCGCGGTTCAACCCACAAAACGTTTTATACGAGCGAACCGTCTGCGTGTGGTCCCTTCGTAAAAAATACTACTTGGGACGAGAGCCTTGCTTGTTGCAGAAGCGCTTGCTCCAACCATCTTGACCCTCCGCTTCGGATTTGGAAAACGCATAGCATGGCATAATCTGCCCTCGCATCGTGCGACGCCTCTTCTTTCCCTCCTGACATACACGGGAAAAATATTTGCGATTCCTCGGTACGCGCAGGTTCAGAGGGATCTTTGAATGCACGGACCTGGCTACGTGCAATACATAATGCATAATGACCAGAGGACGCTTCTCGTTGCCTGAATCCTCGGATGAATGATGGCAGGTGGATGGGAAGACTGAGATAAGCATGGGAAGACTCCACACAGAGCGGATTCTCAGACAGAGTTTCCTGGCAGTGGAGACAGCGGATGGAGACAGCGGTCAATCTTGAGTTTCGAGCTTCCGACGTTTTCTATTAACTGGGAATGAGTAGAAGTAGATGTCTCTTGTCAGCTGCCTCCGGGGAGGCACTCGACGAGAGTTTCGAGAGCATCGGTATCTTCCCTGATCAATGAATTCGGGGGATAAGTCAAGCGGATTTTTATCTATCTCATGGCGATACGACGCCGTAAGAGTAAGAGATTGTCCTCGTAGCAGAGACTTCTTATAGGCACAGACAAATGTTCTTCATCGCCGCGATCTTCTCAATGACTCCCAGCCGCGTATTTCCGGTGTTTCGCTTCGGAAATCACTCTGAGAAGTTCTTCCCCTTAAGAGGCCCCCTTGACATCCTCCACCGATAAGAATGCCCGGATACAGTCTGCTCTCTTTCTGAGAGCCTTGTTTTTTCCTCCCTGAATTTTACGGTTCATTTTCTCCGACCAGCGAACAGAGATCTTATCACGCTGAAGCCATCCATGTTGTGAAGTCCGTCGTTCCCAAAGATCCCTCCCATCATCGGGGCGTGCATCGGTGCGGACGCGAAGGGTATCGCTTGATAGACTGGCTGGACGCCTGTCAACATGGGATTCCCAGGAGCTACATCAACTACCTCCATCTGGGCAACTGTGGGTTGATTAAACACTCGATGAGCATCCGAAGGAAAGCGATCCGAGCCTGAAGAGAGGCGACGCAATTTTACCAATATACACGTGGGAAGTCGAATTCACAAGAGTTTTCCGACGATTTTCTCTCACCGATAGCGGGGATGACTACACAAAAGAGTAATACAAGCCGTATCGTAGCCGCCATAGCGCTCAACCACAGTTCACTCTGATAATACGCTTGGCGAAATTCCATACGACTGTTATAGCTCCCATGATTGGTCATATATCACGGAAGAGAAAATTACGTCGTGACGTGAGCGACTGTGCCGAGGTGGAATTCGATCATCCATGGGTGCCAACAGTCGGACGCCGAGGCACCTGGACCGAAACCCGTCACTGTTCCCATGCGGAATCCTAGATCTCAGTCTCCCTAAGTCGAGCTCGATCGACGGGAAGAGTTCTCATCGCAAGCTCGCTTGGTCGATTTAGTGCAACCTTCAGCGCTGGTCGCGGTACGAGCTTACATGGGTGGCACCCGAGAAAAACTCCTTATCAGAGCTGTGGAGGGGTACGAGCTGTCATATCCGATTTACACCGCTCGATTCATGCTCCGGAACATCGAGACAACTTGATGATTCTGGGAAGACTCTCCAATTGAAAGGAGTTGAAAGGCATGGGTAAGGTCTCCTTCAAGAAGCGAGGAATTTATTTACAAAAGTGTTCAAAGGTACCTACCCTCGGAGATATTAAATAGTTTAAGAACCCACATTAAGAGTGAACCTTGGACACCGAGCTCTGTTTGAGAGTAGCGCTCATCGATTCCTCACATGGTGCCGACAATGGAAACTTTTACCCGAGGTCGCTCTTCTTTTCATTTGAAGGACGTAAGAGTCTTTCCTTTCAAAGAAGAATACTAAGTGAGATTGACGATCCCGAGAGGCATCTGGTGCTGAAATCAACACCCTCTGAACATTCGGGGAACTCTTTGGTTCAGACTTTGTGAGAATGAATTCGCATTCGGAAGGGATTCCTCAGAAACACAAAATACTCATGCTCAGCCAGCAGAGCACGGGAATGCATGCGGTCTATGCTCCTCGTGAATGATGATCGCCGAGGCGGTGCGAGGAGACAGTTCAGAAAAGTCACATAACAATACTGCCGCAAAATGCTCTCGGACTCCTGCTTCCCCGCAGATATCTCCAGATCGACCCGTTGTGTTTGCTGTGGCTCCAGTGGGGACGCCTTGGATCTGCCGACCTTCTCCAATACTAGAGTCATTCCTCAACACCAGTTGCAGGGTCCTTCCTCCTCATCGTCGCCTTCGCGATGCAACACTCTCAATTCTCTGTCCTGTCGAGGCATCATCGGTTTGGAATTTTTCAATTTGTGAGCTAGTGTCAAGAAAATACCCTCCACGTGATCACTGCGACTGTCGTCAGCTGCCGAGGTCTCGAACAAAGGCATATTGTGTTGATCGGCAAAACGTTGCGCGTCATTCGTTTTCACAACTATCTGGAATGCGGAATTAAGAGCGTCAATCGATCGAAATCGTCATCGCGCAGGATACGTAAATTGCGATAATCCTCGTAGTCATCGCATGATGCCCGTGAACACAGCTGGTGCTCCTATAGTATTCGAAATCGAGAGCAATTGAATTCCATGTGATCGGGAAAGGGAGAAACATACAACTCGGTAAATAATCCAAACCTTATCAGCCAAATCGCACTTGTTCCCTACGAGGATTCGTGGAATCTTAGAGCCTGGACACTGTGTATCGCATTCAGCGATCCACAGAGGGAGCTCGTCGAAGGAGCTCTGGTTGGTCACATCATACACGAACACGACAGCATTCACGTTCCTGTAGTAATGCTGGACCAGACTTTTGCGGAAGCGCTCTTGGCCCGCAGTGTCCCACAGTTGGAGCTGGAATGCAAAAAGGATAGACTAAAGGGAGCGCAATCAATCAACACAGACTGTTGATCTTGTAGATGAAATAGGATTCGACAGCTTGAGCCTGCCAATATAGCAAAACCATCATTCCGATCGAGGGTTCAGAGTTTATCGGAATCACGCTCACCGTAACCTGCTCGCCGTCAATGTCAAGCGTTCGTTCCCTGAAGTCAACACCGATTGTAGCCTCTGTCTTTTTGGGATATCTCCCCGCACAGAATCGGAACGTGAGACAAGTTTTGCCGACATTGGAATCGCCGATTATGATTATTTTGAAGGTTCTTTTCTGATGTTCTGTAAGATAGAAAGCCTCAAGTTGAGTCGATGCATCGCTCCGCCAACGCCAGCTCCTCGACTTCGGAAGGATGTTTATGCAGTCCGGCACAAGAACGATACCCTAAGCCGCTGCTCTCGATGGAAATGGCCAGCCGGAGCCTTTCGGTTGCCCACTCCCGACATCAATCCTCCGATCGGCGACAAGCAGCTTTGGAGGCTCTTAAACGGACCGAGTCCTCCGAGGAGGAAGAACTTGTGACTACGGGGTGTATCGATCGCGAAAGTTATGACGAAATCTGATGGACTGAAGATCCCGTGGAGCATATCTAGCCAAAACACACGGCAATGGCGCTCGATTCACCCGATCGAAAGCATACGGGCGTGTCAGAAAATATATCCGGCACGCTGACAATAAATGATGTTCTGCAGGTGCATCTACCTTGAAGTCGAGCGACTGAGGGAGACTCCGACACCACCGAAGTCACCCGGGAAAATGCAAGGCTTCTCAATCTCTTCCTCATTTGTTCATTCGTTCCTTGGGGATATGCCGGTTTTTCTGTGATAGTTTCTTCCCGAGCATGCAAGTGGACCGGTACGACTGCCCAACACAATGGGGCGGGAACGATGGAAGTTCAACTATCAAGACTTTTCAGTGCGCGATCGCCCATATAGGGAAGGATCTGGAGTCTTTTGGCTACTCACTGTGGACTGTGAGAATAAAATGGAAGCACTATTGGAGCTCTCTTCTTCTAATACAGCCGAGTTCCAAAACCGAGTCTAACGTCATTTGGCGAAATATCCGTATTTACCGAGGGCAGGCAGCTGAGCGTTGTCTGGGAGAAGTGTCATGATCTCTATTTAAAGCGCGTCTTCGACACTTTTCCGGTGATGTATCGGCACGATGAACGCTATATGGAACCTGGGAAACTACACGAGTCGTTCTTGAATGAGCTCACGCCGTGTCATCGACAGAAGGAGCTTCAGTTTCTTTCCAACGTCATGACATATGCTTGCAAGCCTCACACGGGCTGTCGTCGGCAGCCTAACGATTGTTGCTGCCTGTTCCCTCGGTCAGCTCTCGACACAGCTGACTGTCGTGATGAGTGTGATTTTTGTCCGATAGACTCACTTGAGCAATAGACAGCAGGGCGCCTTGCTGCGGGGGCACGCAATGGCTCTGCGATGCTTATACGGTGGCGGTAATGTCTCGAAATCATTCTCTTGTTTGGTGGACTGGATTCCATTCTTGTCGGAAGCAACCGATTCGGAACCCAGGAGGATACCGGACCTCAGTAATTGACACAACGAGCTCGTCGAGGCTATCTCGACCACGGATTTCGTGCCTGAATTGACGAAAACGAATTCCTCGCCAATGTTGTGGAAGTGATGGAATACTCTAGCTCGGGGGTGGAGAACGAACACCACTCGGTCACGAATGCGACCTCGAAAGCGACGCAACAAAAACTCGCCAAGGAAGCCTTCAAATCGCTAGATATCCACACGATTCGCTTCACACAAACCTTGCTACGTCTGGTGGAGAAAGAGCAAGCATCGCTGAAAGTCATGATGAGGAAACCATTCGTTCACTTCTGCTATCTGCAGGCTTCGCTAGTATGCAAGGTGAGAACTTTCGAAGTCGACCGCGGGAACCGATGCCTAGGGATTAGAGAGCCGATCATAATGCCGAAAAAGGAATTCCCCGCCTAGTAGGACCTCGGAGCGAGACTTCGCAAGAGTCGCATAACTTTCCTGGACATCCGAGAAGGGATGAGCAACTTGCTCCAGAATTTTCCGTGTGTGGCTCGACGGCATCCCGTGGCCTTTGAAGGCTTCTCTGTTTATGTTGGTGTGAGTGGTCGTTCCGTAATTCGCCAACAGCTGTACTCTAGAGTAAGTCCCCGAGGCTCGGCAACTAATTCGACCCAATAATAATCCGATTCAGCGGATCGTGAAGGCCGTGGCGGAAATTGAGCAGAAGCTATCCGTCGTTTCCAAGATCCAACCTATAGAGTGGAACGACGTGCTCGAATCCATGACAAGAAAATGTTCGGAAGCATACCCGGATCTCGGAGCGAGAGAGTCTCAGAAAATCCGAATACCCTCGCTCCTGAGCTTTGCGACAACAGGAATTTTGGGTCGAGGGGGTTTCGGCGTTGTTTTTAAAGGTGTGAGTGCCCAATCCGATAATCTCTGATCCACGAATGCGGAATCGAATGCACGCGAATAAAGCCGAAGCGTCCGCGAGAGAGCGTAGGGAGAAAGACCTTCCCGAGCACAGAAAACGACCAACGGGCTAGGCTCGGCAGTGACAACTAATGGAGGGCCTACACCGTTATACAGATATACACGCCGACATCGATGCCGGTCGCGATGAAAATCACATCTTGCAACAAGATATTCGACAAAGAATACTTAAGAGCGAATCTGGCGATAGCAACCGTGGATAGACTCGTCGCTTCCGTCATGGTCAACGCACCTTTTGTGGTGAAAACGTTCGCGTGCTTCATTGTTCAAGCGAAGGAGGACCGAGCAGCTCTGAGCATCATGGAGATGATATCGGGAATGGATCTATTGAAGTAGGTGGAAGCTCGTCAAGTTGAATTTTTCAATCAGCGAGCATCGGGTTCAGGGGATGACTCGTCAGTCAACGCTCTGTTCCACAAGGTATCTCGGCACTCAGGGATCCGTGGACGGGGAGCGCGTCGGTCACATAATTTGCCAGCTCACCATGGCTATCGAGTCGTTCCATTTGCATGGAGTGATCCACCGTGACATCAAGCCTGGGAACATCATACTCCAGCCGAATGGCATCATAAAAGTAATCGATCACGATGTGTGTAAGATCTGCACTGAGCACATGGGAAAGGTGTTTCTGAAGTCGTATTTCCGCAAGACGTGCAACGAGTTCCAGGATAAGGAACGTATCGGCACGGAAGCCTACATGGCACCAGAATTGCACCTGGCGAAGCCTTTCGGAAGATCCGTGGACTGGTGGTCGATGGGGGTGACGCTTTTCAAACTGCAAACCGGTAGATGTGCATTTTCCGACCGACAACGAGCCACACTTTCCTCCGAAAACCTCATCTGATCGAATTACGCTTGAATTCAGGCAAACTTCCTTTCCGTGGAAAACCCATCCAGGATATAGTTCTGAAGACAGAACCGACGTATAACTCTATACCGCAGACTTGGCGGAGAGAGCAAGCCGTGTCTTTGTGTCAAGAACTTCTGCGTAAGAATCCCGCTGAGAGATTAGGGTCGAGAACCTACCATGAAATATTCGGTCACTCGTACATGGTGGACGCTGATTGGAAGAGATTGCACGAGAACGACTTCCCTGCGCATATAGCGGAGGCGGACGTGAGTATTGAAGAATCTCCGCTGGGAGCTGATCAAAGTTTTCGGAATCGTAGTCGACGCTTGAAATAACCGCAGGCGACTGCCAAAGAGACGCTGAACTACAGGCTCCTCGCCGAGCAGCCGGATCAAAGCAAGCAGCGGATCGATTGGGCGTTTGAGGACCTGCAAGATTTGGCAGAGGAGCCGCGACCTTTGCTGACCTACGTGTCGCGAACCATGGACAGCCTACTCAGCTCCGACGCATCTGAAGCTGACGCGGACGAGGGTTTCGATGTGGGTCGATTTTTTTTCGCGGGAGGCAATGTCTCGTAGACCGGCTGATCTCAATTTTCGTTTTTCGATCTCAACTTGCTTCCAAACGAGCAGAACCGGCATTGTTTGGACATGACAGTTCTTGATGCGACGTCCACCCTTACTGTCGAGTACATCACGAATAATCCCGAGGGCGTACGGCATAGTGATAGTATTGAGATCATGATTGTCAAACCGAAGAGGTGGCTACTCGCTTCCTATCCGGTTGTGCTCAAGAAACAGTACTGTCCTGATTTGACGCAGCGCTTCTCCATTGAGAAAGTCAATGCCTCTATCAACTATGCGGGTGAGTCTTCTTCGAATCACGACTCACGTGACGATGGACCTCGAGAAAACGAACAGATGAGAGCCTCATTTTCTAGGTAATGCGGCCGGGCGCTGTCTATATCGTTATGATATCGTCGTGACTATTAACGGAGTTCGGGTCGACGGTCTCACAAACGAGCTCGCCGAACGTCTCATGGTGGAGAATGACGAACCACTCGTTATGTTCAAAGTAGGCTTCGGAGAGACCTTTCGCTATGTATCGACCCGGGAAAATAGACCAACATCGACCCGGGAAAACAGAGCACACCCACTCTCGAGCCTCCGGGTTTCTGTAGACATTATGAGATTCGGAAGATCATTTTAATCTTGGACTACCTACAGGTGGTCGCCGACAATACTTTCCGGAAACTCGAAGATCAAATATTTGTGTTGGAGAATGAAATATCCCGATATGGCAAAAGAAGAGTGCGTTGCCGTTCGAGGAAGAAACGTAGTTAGTATTTCAATCCATTCCAGCTACCCGTTTCGAGCTGCAGTTCCGAGAAAAGCGTTTCCGAGCATTGGTAATCGAAGAGTCTCGGCCGCTGTGACCTACCTATGGTCGATACGGCGCCGGCGGTGATTGTCGGGGATCGGAATGGATTCCGAGTTTTCCCGAATGAGTTAATCTCTCACGTTTTTCAGATTGGTTCAAGATGGGGAGAAGTTTCGGCTTCACATTGGCTTCAGAGAAATGTTGGGTTCAAGAACAGAACGCATTTTCCCGAGTCATCATCGTCGACTCGTCCAACCCTCAGGAACAACAACTGAGTGACTTCGCATGCGTTCTGATATTTGGTACTCGTCCCGAGCTCGCAAGGATTCTCTCGAAAAATCTCAGGACCATGCCGAGTCGTATGCGCTTTGATAAGTAGTCTCGGGGTAGATAATGGCGATTTCTACCAGTCGTGTTTTTTACAGGAGACGTCGTTTTGTCGATAAATGATTGCGCTCCCTCAGAAATTCATCTCCCGTCGATGATGAACAAAGCGTCGCTGACGATAGAGTTCACACCTTGCTCTGCGCTGCGGAATAAGAGTCTAGAGTGAGCCCATGGATTTCGGGTTGCTTGTTTGGTGACTAAAATAAAAGTTGAATCTCGGCAAAGATGGACTTGTACTCTGTCAGCGGAGAGAACCCATCCACGAATTTAAGCCTCGTAGTCGCTCACACATCATTGAGTCAGGAATGCAGAGAGGAAGACGCTGCTGTTCCCCTTGGAATGCATTCACTTAATAACTGAGAAAACTCAGATCACGTCACCTCGCGCGATGTCGACTACATCAGCGATAAGTCTTCTCGCATCGATCGGAACTGAGTCCTCTGATGTCGAACGCCATTGTCTAGGGTCAAGCTCGCGAATAGTAGGCGATCGATCGGATCTCCCCCGATCGGCACATTTAATGCGTCCCTTTATTCTTCTCCTGAGAGTGTTCATAACAGAACTTTCAAAGCGAAACATGCATCACTCGTTTTCATACGACCGTACAGTGCGCATAGTCTTAGCTTTTCATCCATCGATAGTCCCGGCGTAGGAGCATCGCGATCGTAGGAGGATGTCTGGAGTTATGAAGAGCGATTTGCGGATGATATCCTGCGGAGCAGCACCTCGTGAAAGCTACAGCGAGTCCCATAGGTGGAACTACCGCTACAAACAGGCTGTTCATCTGACAGTGCTCGTCACGCTGTTTGTTTGCTCTGTGGGCTTAATCCGTCGCCTACTCCTCACAGTCTACAAGCCCGACGTCGTCGACACGTCTGTCTCGGAAGTCTCCAATTACCGCCTACATTTTCCTGCGGTAACGATTTGCAACCAGAATCCTTTCAGGAAATCAAGGATCTGCGAAGACGATACGTTCCGTCCGCTGTGCAATATCGCGCGAGGCGATGACCGTTTGTTCGTCGAGGAGTTCATTCGAATCTTGAGGAATTATGAGCTGGATCTCCGAGCCCTCGAAAACGTCACATACGCTCCCGACGAACTCATAATATCATGCCATATCGATGGGAAACGTTGCCACGGCAGCTGGTACAGACGAGTGACACCCGCCTTACCACGTCTTGGTATCTGTTATTGCTTGTTTTGCGGCATGGACATAAACAGAATTCCCGAGGCCGAGAGCGAAGACCTAGTTTTACAGCTTCGCAGCGAATTCGACGATTATTTGCCTCATACGTCAGATAAGGGCTTCGTCGTGATGCTTCATGATCCCGCCGATTTCCCTAGTGTGAACAAAGATGGAGTATACGTCTCGCCCGGAGTGGTCAGTAACATCGGGATTTCGGTCACCAAGTTGGAGCAGACCGAATCATTAGCCGAGTCTTGTTCGGATGAATGGCCTCAAAGTGTCTTCAGCATCGTAGACTATCTCGACCTCATCGCCTATTCGCCGGAGCTCTGTACGAAACTCTGCACGAATGTCGCGATAATCGATAAATGTAATTGCACCGAGGTCGAGGACCTGGACGACGGATCCCTGCATTTCCAGCTGCTACTAGACACCGAAGGTATCTGTGCTGACGAAAACAACACGAAGGCAGCTTCCGCATGTCACAAAGAAGCTCTCGTCGATTCAGCTGGATTCTCGAGGGATCATAAGACGGAGAGAAACTGCGAATGTCCAAGCAAGTGCGAGCAGACGATGTACAAGAAAACACTCTCTTCAGCGGACCTGGCTCCTTCGAGAACACTGACGGATGCTGAACTCGAAGCGATCCTGGAGGCTATCGAAAGAGGCAAGCGGAGGCAGTCACAAGCAAACCATTGGAAGAGGGAGATGGACGTCTTCGGTTTAGGCTCACGAAAGTCAGACGGATCGTGTGGAGGGGCACGCGGCCGACGGCCCGGGAACCCGAACGACAAGGATTGTGATTCGTCGAACAGAAACGGACGGGGTCCTCCGCACGGCGAGCCCGGGAGAGATCGAGGACGAGTTCCCCAAGGGGACCCGGACAGGGGTCCTCGCAGACATCCTTTTGGGTCGAAATTCCGCGACCCACGCCGAGGACCACTCGACGATCATCCTCCTCCCCCTCCTCACCTTGATTCCCCTTCTCATGATTCGCTTCGCGAAGGTAAATTCCCGCAAGAGCGACTCGGTCCCTCTGACGATAAGCATTCTCGTTCACGAGGGCCTCCGTTTCCCGGAAACGACGCCGATCGGAATTCCGATGAAGTTTCAGAGGTTTCCTCGGAATTCAATGGGAGTTCCCGCCGGCCACCGGACTCCCACGAAACTCCTTGGTCGCCGCCATATGGAAGTCTAGGGCTAGCTCTTTCTTCCAAGGAAGATCTCGACTCGAGACTATCCTCCGAGGAGGACTCCGTGCCGGCGACCAACGATGGGAACGGTCTCCGACAACGACCGTCTCCCGGAGGAGACTTACCCGGTCTGTCCAGCCTTCAAGATTCCCGATCAAAGTCCTCCGAGGGCACCAGCAGCTCCCATACACCGCAAACTCCGGAAAATCGCTCTCTAACCTCGACCAATAGTTCGCCGTTCGTGATCGCTGCTCCTGACTGGGATCCTAGAGAACCGTCTACCGGGACCGGACCCTTGGGCCAACCCTCCGCTCTCGGAGCTGATTCTGATCCCCCATCGACCCTCTCTCTCCGTCTCTCTGAGATCGGAACGATCCCTACCATTGACGACTCCCGTGCCGCCCCATATGGAACGGTATCTAACCCGGGTGTTCAGGCTCCTCCAGTACCTTCAGATATTGGTCGACCATCCGGATTCGTCGCTCCGGACGATGAGGCCCATCCGTCGCCGGGATCCGATTTTCGGGATTCGACCTTCCACTGCCATCCTGATCGTCCACCTCCCGCGGAGTTCGATGATGGGCGCCCCGGATATCGAAGTCCGAAAGAGTCGGAGCAAAGCGAGAGCACCGATCAGCTGCTCGAAGCGATTATACGGAGTCGAGAACATGCTGAGGCGAAACATCGTTTGCGTTCCCACCTGAAGGCTTTCAGTAGGGTTAGGATTTACTTCTCCTCGATGAGCACCACAGTGCTCAAGCAAAGCCGGAAGATCAACGGCAGAGTTCTTCAGGAACTATTCGGGAGCTATTTCAGTACGTTCCTCGGCGTCAGTGCCTTCAGCGCTCTCTACTGGCTAATCGACCACACGTCGGGCATCTGCTGCGTCAGCGCTTGGTTGGATCGATTCGCTCAGAGATTGAGCCTTAAGTCTCGACGCGCGGTCGGGTAATCAGTTGGACCCCAACTCCGGGACCAAAGGTTGACGACGAGCTCTGCATAATGAAAACACCTCGCCATAGGATTCCATTTAAGTGAACGAGGGCTGAACGGCATTCTAGGGGCGGTTATCACGGTACCTTCATCCTACTCCTTTCCATTCTACTTCCCTAAAATTCATAAGAACATCGAATCTATCAGCTGTGAGGCGGCTCATCGAATGAGTCCTTCAATCTCACCTGATGATCTGATTGAAGATCCCAGTATGCGAGCACCGAGAAGAAAATTATCCGCCCGGGAGCGAATTCGAGAGCTTTCTCCAGAGTTCGCCACAAGCAGAGGCTACCGATCCTGTGATCTGGAGGTCCCGATCGAGGGAGCTTCAAACTTCAAGGCTCCCAATTCCTTTCTCTAAGACTGATGACTTCAAGGTATCCTGGAAGAGGCATTCCAAAGCATCGATCCGACGCATCCTCCCGGGGATCCAGTTTCGAGAGCTTGTTGTAGCCTGCGTGCGTTGCGCAGCGGCTCGACTTGGTCTGCCGGGCTGCCATTCATTCCCTGTTATCGCGTGCCGACCCACGTAGCACCGCTGGACGACCAGAACAAAACCATCATGCTGAAAACATGCAGAAATCCCTGGAGCGTCGGTGTGCGCCGATGGCTTATCGCATGGGTGCCGAGATCACTGTGACTTTTCCTCTCCTCGCAGTCAATCGGAGTTTCCGAGTTCTCTGAATATGCGATCCCAAACGGGATCGGTGTGTGCACTCGATATTCACAGATCTCGGCGCGTTCTCATCCAAGGCTCAATCCGTCCTTCGACAGGCCGTTCGTATCCATATCATCGTATCCACGCTGCCGACGGAGGTAGGTTGTCGCTCCGTTCCTTCCAGAGCGGTCAACATCTCCGATCTGGTGGATTTGTGGATGCATCCCAAGCCTCGAGAGCTGAACTTTGAGTCGCAAGAGGGGAGAATCAATAACATACATTCAGGACAGCATTCTGCAGAAGAAGGCCGCCGAGTTCCGGAATATTTTTCGAGTGGGTGTATCTATGCGTTTTCGAGAAAGAACTTGAGCGAGAAGTCCAGGGAAACCTGATCGCCGCCGAACACCGTGGCAAAGGCGGTCCAGGATCGTCGCTGAGCGAGTCAAATTACGCAGTCGATTCGTCGGGTGCCGATGCCGCGCCATGGTCACAGAATGAAAATTCAGTCCATGATTTTACAGACGTACTGGAGTATTGACGGACACGAGCCAGGTCTGCTCCATTCTCCCCACGAATTCCGTATATTCGTTCCAATGATTTGTACTTTTGTTCGCGGAGAGGCGAATGGCTTCATATCGCTCGCTTCGCTCGTTCGGCACGCGTCTTAGCCAACAACTTCGGAAGCCTCAGAACAGAAAGACCAGGCGTCGCAGACTTGCAGGAACCCTCCAGGAATTCCTAACGGAGAAGCGACCTCTCCGCCGACCCAAACAGAAACGACGTCGTCTCAAGGAAGGGGTCAAAGATATGATTCCCGGGATGATAGCGGCAGCCGAAGAGTCGAGGTGCGTTTTCGCCAGACGGAGCTCAACACGCGCTCAGCGAACCACCATTTCGACCGTGATCTGCGCTGTTCGGAGTGAAAACGAGGAAAATTCGTCTTCGTTCGTAGAGATTGAAAACGAGTATGAGGAATTCTGCGCTACATTCTTATAGAACACCAACCTCCACAGGAGACCACTCTGCCGCTTGATCCATGGAAGTTCCGACCGACCGTCTTACTCCCGCGTGGTGTGAGAGCACTCCGAAGAGGAAAGCGAGAATGATGGCGCATCGGCTTGGTCTACGGTTCCGTCGGAATTGTTTTCTGCGCTCTCTTCGCAGACGTGAGAGGAGAGCGAGAAGGACAAGAAGTATAACAGAAAAGGATGGAGCGCAAATGAAGCGGCTAAAAACACCGACAGTCGACGACGCCGCGGGAACGGATGGAGGAGGTGCAACTTCCCAGATCGTTCAGGGAATCGACTCCGACGGGCTCAACTGAACGGAAGATGAAGCCGGAGGAAGAGAAAGAGGCAGGCGGGGAGGAAGCCCGGAGGAAACAAGCTACGCGCAGAAAGGAAAGTCATTAGAAAGTCTTTCTTCGTTTCGATTGGCGAACGGCGCGAAGATTAGTTGTTGCCGTTGTTGTTCGGCCGGGAACAAGGGAAGAGAAGAAGAGCCTACACAAAGAAAAGCAGTTGGCGAGGGGAAGAACCTTCACCGTTGGACGAAGAAGTCACTTGATCAGGTCGCGAAGTTGGCGGTGGAAAGAGCGGCCGCGAGAGGCGTTTGCTTGGCGGCAATCGAACGGAAATAATCCTCAGCCTCCTCTCAAACGCTCACAAATATTGTGAGACATTTTTTTGTCGCAACGAAAGGCGGGTGTCCACGTGCGCGGACGAACTCATGACCTCATTGTCGTCCCTTCTCTATGCGCCATGGACCATCGAACTTCGGCGAGGTCCGACTTTTGTTCTTCCTAAGTAAAATTGACTTGCCATCGGCTCATGAGGAAAATCTCAATTCATCCGTGAATTGACGAGGGGGCTTCTCGAGCCACAAGTGAAATTTTCGCAGCGAAAGCATCCCTCGCGATCGAGTAGCTTCCCGCTCTCTGGCTGCTAATCGATATCAGATACATTTCATGTGACGCATCCGTCCCGTCACCGTCCGTTCGAAAAGTTTCTTCCCATAGACGAAATTTCGAATTCGGATCGTCCGATTCGATCGCTCGGAATTCGATCAGCCGGCTCCCTTGAGCGTAAACGGCTGGTTTATCGCCGGTCGCAGGCGAGGGTCCAATGTGACGACTTTCGGAAGTCGTTCACCGTCAGTCGGGGTTTGCCATGGTTCGAGTCTTGATGGCTGTACTATTCCTCGACAGCTACCTCGACAAGGTGGGCAATTTTCCATTAGCGGTGTGTTCAAGGTCCTCCACGCCAGTTCCCTCGTACCATTTGAGCTCATTGATGATTTGGGGTACGCCAGCTTAGTGCCCCCATTGCACGGAATCGTTCGCAATGTAGTCACAGAAGAAGTCGCTCCCGTAAGCGGGCTTCCGTGCGGGGGGGAGGGGAATCCCCCGCGAATGGCCGGCCAGCCGATCCTGCGCGGTCGCATCCCCGGCAAGCAGGCCTTCTGACGGTGAGTCTATTGTGGGATCGAGAGGATACCGGCGGCGGTCGAGGCCGCGAAGGATTTCCCGGCACAAGACTTCATAAAGTTATGGCGGACCTTTCTGCTCGGGTGCGCTTTCCTTCAGTGGCGCATGGGAGTCGACGACTACACGTGATATGCGCCGCACTAATAATTGACGCTGGATATAAATCAAGCGAAGTTGTAAAACACAGGCTAGCCGCGGACCCTCGCCGACGGCACGCGGTCTCGCGGGCCCGCTAGGTAGACTTCGCCTATACACACCTTTCGTAATTACTTCGTATAATGATATATGGTCCCTCTGTAATAAAGGCTTGCTTGCTTCCTTGCTCGCTTGCTAACGTGCAAGGGACGTTAGTTCGTTATTTTGATTACAGACATGGACCGCCTGAACGAGAATAAATCATCCGTCGGACCGCAAGAGCCAAATTGATTCATGATTCGCGCGCACAATTTAAGAGTTCGTATCACGCGCGGCTATCCTCTACGTCAGCGGTTCCCAACCTTTTTCCCCTCGGGACCCCCTCCGGATCATGAGCCCGACTTCGGAACCCCTTGAGATGAAGTCTCGGAAGTAATGGAAAAAATGCGTATAGGTATGCTCTACGGTTCTCTCCCGTTTCTCACGATTAGTATTTATTTGAAATTAAGTTACGGTCATGTATGTATGCTGATGTCAATGGCTTTTTCGTTGCTGTTTCGAATCCACAATATTGGTCATCCGAGGCTCCGTACTGCTCGAAGCTATGCGGAGGTCCGCCTCCGCGTTCAGAAACGACCCATTTTTGGTTTTTATCGCTCTGGAATTCAAGGGGCTCGACTGACCAGACAGCAAACCACGTGGCATGACTGGCATGGTCGTTTCCAAGGACTCCGAGAATACTTCCCCATATCAACACCAAGAGGATACTCATTCGACGCCTCCGGGACCCCCTGAGACAGGTCCCAGGACCCCCGGTCGGGAACCCCTGCCTTACGTTCTCCTGAGGCATCCTTCTTCCTTCCTCTTCTCTTCCTCATTCTTCCTGCGTTTTGGTTGGGATTCTCCAAAGGCTCCGGAGAACGAAGCTCGAAGTTGAATTTGTCATCTGGAGTGCCGAGATTACGTGACGACAGGTGTATAAACAGAATGGCTCCATCATTTGTCTCCGAGCTGAGACGGCGTATTCATTGTGGGTACAGGAACTCCATTCTCCGATAGTTCTTGGGGGACAGGGCGTCCCGGAGCCTCGATTTGCTTTCGCTGGAGACCCTGGTGGAGGAATCCATTCATTTTCCTTACGCTTCCAAATGATATCGCGCCAATTCTGTGAATCCAATCCCCGGAAACCGTTGCCCATATCGTTCAGTGTCTTCCTCTGCCGAACGGGAGGAGGAGGCTGCGCGAGACACTTCGCACGGTGTCACTGACGGCGAGGGATAAGGGTTCCGAGGGAACTTGCCTTCAGTAGTGGATGCTTGCGTTTCATTCTTAAACCACCTATGGATTCTTTCCATTTTTGTCGTGAGACCGGTGAACTTCGAACATGCTGCATGCCTATCAGAGCTCGAGCAGAGACCTCCGCGGGCCGGAGAGAGCGGAGCAGTGACTCCCCGCGAAAAGTTCGCTGAATCTGCGAAGAAGATATCGAGAACAACGATAGCATCTCGAATAATCGATCACCGAAGAATCGATCACCCGGCGGATGGGGTATTCGAAACTCCGCGACGGCATGTCTTGAAGTGACTTCTCGACGGCGGAGTCGATATTCACAGCAAGGTCCGAGATTGATTTCCGAAAGAGGCTGGCTCGAGAGAGAGTGATAAAAAGTCCCCTGTGATAA